CCACCAGCACCACCAGCACCATCACCATCATGACCATGACCATGGCCATGACCATGACCATGACCATGACCATGACCATGACCATGACCATGACCATGACCATGACCATGACCATCATCATCATCGTCGTCATCATCATCGTCATCATCATCATCAGGGCCGTCATCATCCCTGTCACTGCCATCCTGGTTCGTGCCTTGCACATGTCTCGTCTGACACTCCTCAGTACTGCAAATCCCGAGACAAGCCAGGCAAGGAAGTCTCCAAGGCACAAGGATGATGATGATGATGATGATGATGATGATGACGATGCTGCAGTCGATGATCATCGCTTCATGATGATGACGACCATGACTAGGTTGAGCCTGATGCTGAAAACAAGTATGATGACCTCTCCCCAGAGCCCGCGGCGGAAGAACAAGGACCTTCACCAACCACTCGCATGACCAGGTTTCTCTCTGTCGTGAAGCGTTTGCGCACGCTGGGTATGGATGAGAAAATGGACGCTGCCGACCTCTGAGACTTCGCGGCTCTGGTTGTCCTTTGCTCATGACCTACGGACCTACACATGCAGGTCGAGTCTCTGTTCAACCACTACGACCGTGACCGGTCAGGCAAGTTGACCATAAAGGACCGTTTAGCATCAGCAGCCTGAGTGATGCCGCAATCGTGTCCCTATTCCGGCAAGGATGTCTGTCAAATCCTCATGCACCTCGACATCAAGCCCAGATCGGTGCTCGAGCAGGCAAGTCCTACGAGAGATAAAAGGGTAAGGGGGGCAGGGTGCAGCTGCAGCTGTGAAGAAGAAGCACCGCTGCAGGAGAACATGGCTCAGCTAATTGAGGCTCCGCGAGCAGGATTGTTTTCACCACAGAAAGAGCGTTGCGTTTGTTCTGCTGCCTCAGGAAGCGGACTCTGAGGGAAGCGGGCACCTGAACGTGAACGAGCTTCTGTTGCTGGCCGGCCCATTAGACTGAGAAACACCCTGCCCAACTGGACATGTGATGCGGAATGGTACAGGTGCAGAGAATCAACGAGCGCATTGCCGAGCTGGATCGCATGGAAATCTTGAAAAAAGCCCAGGCAGGTCGTCAGACAGTCTTTCGACTTGCCAGAGTTTGGCGAAACTGTTCTTGTTTGCCAAGTACATTCTGTTTGCTGATGTTTGCTGTGCTTGCCGAACATAGTAGTGGGGGGATCAGTCTCCAGCTGCTTGGTGGGCTCTTTCATGTTTGAAGTTATGCTGTCCGTGGGCTGCACGGTTACCAGTTCCATCCAGAAAGGTGGAAGACCAGCATGAGCAGTCGCAGAAAGCACGGACGTTTGCTGGTCTGCAGCCCTTCAGCAGTCCCGTTCAGATTGGCGAGTTCGGAGCAGCTTTTGGAACATATTTTGAAGCAGCTTTTGGATTAGCTCTTGCCTCCCGCTTCTTGCTGGCATACAGCCCTCTGCTGGACCTGCATTGTATGTCCGCCAACTCATTTTAGTTTGAAAAGTTGTTCGCACACCCGTTCTCGGAGTTTCAGCGGCGTAGCTGCCAACCACAAATCTGGGATTTTGGAGCGGTGGTTGCCGAAAAGACGGTGTAGGGAAATCACGCGAAAGCAAACTACATGTGACCGGCATGCAGTCCGCTACATGTCTAGCCGTGGGTCGCGAGGCGTTGAATTTTACGAGGAAGCAAGCAAGCACCCTCCGGGAGACGTTCGAGGCCATCATGAGCTTGTCAGGGGCTCGTTACCACCTGCGAGACAGGAGCTCGACGAAGACAGAGAGGGCTTGGTACCCATCAATCAGGCCGCAGTCACTTTGCTTGGTGTCTGCAGAGAAGTGGTCTAAACACATTATTACTGTAGCTGCAGACAAATTTGAATTCTGCAGTTCGTGCCGCATTTATTTCAAGTCCAGTGAGGCATTGAGGTGGAGTCCTGCTCGACTTATCGTTTCACGGTGAAGGGTCGAAGCGTGAAACAGAGCGCCTGAGAGAATTTATGAGGCAAGCTTATACCGGCTTCAAGAAGCTTTTGGCACTTCAGCATTTCGCTTCTATGCAGGTTGAGCAGGCTTTGGCGAAGATGCGTGGACACCTGAGCACTATCTCTTTCAACCTTAGAAGCCTTCCGACCCAGCCCAGGATGGCAGATCCCAGCAGCACGGCTGCAGCGATATGTCCGCATCCGAGACTGGCAGAGATGGGCCACATGAATGCGCGCGCGCGCGCGCGCGCCGTAAACCGCAAATTCTCCCGGAAGGTGAATGAAATTGATGCGGACGGAAACGGGTGGTGTCCTTATTTGGCTACCAGGATGCCAGACCTAAAGCTAGTTGCTGGTCAATGCAGAACCTGCAGGCATTTGGATTTTCTCGAGTTTCTCCATTTGATGCGCACTTCTGACTGTTTGCAAGGGCTGTGTTAATGAAAGCACTTGGGACCTTGCGGAACATGTTTGCCCTGCGAAAAGACAGGCCGTGTTCTGGACGATGTCCAGAATTCAGGCTCATCGACCTTAGACATTTGTGCGGAGGGACATGCGGAGTGCGTGATGCAGAGATTGCTGATGTAGCGATGGGGCCACGCTGCAGGCATGAAGCTTCAGCCTGACGGCACCCTGGTCACAGATGCCGCCAGCCATAAACTCAGACCTGAGACGACTTCGGAACGAGGGCTGGATTTAGACCTGCGCGTGTTTTGGTACAGGGGAAGACGACGAACATGAGACTGGTGGTGACAGGAAGGACGGGAAGCGGCTGTCAGAAGAAAGGAAAAGGCAGGCAAGGAGGAGCCATCTGCTCAGTACGACTCGTGGCTTCAACCCACAAATGTTGTTGCTGTCCCTCTTAGTGTCAGCATCAGGTGCTAGAAAGGCATGAGAGCAATGCTCCAGGCCAAAATATCGGCTGAACTTCACGAGCCAGATCATATGCCAGCCACGCAGGTGATGCGCACCAGCATTCTAACCTGTGTGTGTGTGTGGTTTCACACGTTTTTATGTGCAGAAGCGCAGCTTGCCGCATGGCAAGCTTGCAGCCGTCAGAGCAGGGAGAGCAGTGCAAGCATCGCTTGCTACGAGTCGTGTTCAGCTTCGCTCTCTCCTGGATCTGTCAGTGAAAGACCAAAGTTGTCTGTAGTTAGCGTAGCAAGTCTCTGGCATGTTCACGACGTGCACAAAACCATGCCGCTCATTGAAGTTCGACATGCAACCATGAAGGCTTCAGTCAGTGCTTGCGTTTCCGACCGTTTCCTCCGGAAACTGCTTTGAGCTTCAAAAGGGCTAGATCCATGCAGCCTGCGAGCCTAAGGCCACATTGACATGAGGCCTAGAGACCGATCAGATTGGTGCCGAATTGAGACAGCATCCTGCTGCTTTGAATCCAACACCTTAGCAAACCAGGCAGAGAGAAGCAGCACCTAAGCAGAGCATGGCTTCTTGCTAGGCAGCAGTGAAAACTTTGCCTGCACTCCAGTGATTTACAGCGACTCTTGCAAGCGACGATGTACTGTCGAATGCTCGCCCTGTCCGGGCGCAGCCGTATCGAAGCAGTCCGGGGCTTTCATTTACCTCGTCGAATTCATAGGTTGATGCGGCCTTGCTATGGGCGGACGGCTCTGCTGTCACACAATGACAGCATGTGCAGGAGCGTTCGGATCTGCAAAGCTACGCATATTTGACATCTTGTTCCTTGCCGGAAGTGGGAACTGACCATAGACAACTTGACCAACTCCATGTCGCGACACGGGAGCAGACTGATGCTAAATCTGAGGGGCACAGTGACCCCTTGCTTTGTCCCAGTACTTGGTGTCTACGAACGTGTACACGCGCAGGTTTTGGACTCAGAGTGCGCCCATCAAGACATCTCAAGTATGCTGGCCCTAGAAGACGAGGTGGGTGGTTGCTTCGTCCCAGAGGGGCCACAGCATGGCGAGCTCGGAAACTGCCCACAGGCCGGATGCATTTTTCATCCCTCTGCAAACTGCAGCTTTAGACACCTGGCACTGTGGCAGGCACTTTCTTCAGGCTCATCTTGTTTGCACGAGGCTTACACTGAACCCTTCATGAGCCTTGCAAAATCAGCGCCTCATGTCCAAGGCCAGGCTGCGAAGAGGGTTATGTGCTGGATGGCCCGGTCAGCTGCGATGCAGGTCAACTGCGTGGGGCTCCTACGATGCCCAAGCAAGTGTGCATTGGGCCTCCCAACTTGTTACACAGCATCCCCTCATACTTCTAGCAGTTCTAGCAGGCACGGGAGCCCTTCAATCTTAGTGCGAGCTTGTCTCAGTACCGCATGAAGCTAGAGATGTCGGACAGCACGATCTGGGAGCTGTGACAACGACCGGGAACACACAAATCATCGACAAATCGAAATGGGCAATGGACAAGGAGAAGCTGGAGGCGCCTGCCAACGTGATGTCAAACCTGCCCCCTCAATGGGAACGAGAGTTGTTGAATCTGTGATCCTTACCTATGAAGCAGAGTTGAGCAACATTCGGATGCTCACTTGTGATTGCAACGCTTAGCAGCCTGGACCCTGACTCCAGCGTTCGCGGTTGAATCCGCACGGAACCTTCAACAACAAATACATCCCATGTTTTTCCATAGGGAATCCGATGGAAAATCAATATCTTACACTAACTGAACGGAAAACACAACGGGAAACAGAAAATCCATATGCCTCCGAACTGCAGAATACAAGGTGACCTCCCCCAAAGCACGGCCTGAGTGAAAAGCCACAATCGCCAATTAACAAAAACTGTTGGTGGAGGGTGCCTCACAAGTTAGAGAAGTGCAGACATTCACTTCACGTCCTCCCTTCCGACACCCCCTCCTCCCGCATTGTTGCCGTAGACCCCCCCTCCTTGCGGGGCCCAGGCTGGCACATTCCCCCCTCTGTTTCCCGCACATGGTTTGAAGGTGTGTGCAAAGGCTGGCATGCGGGCTGGCGCGGCGTCAGGGGGTGCCTTTAGGGTTTGGGTCTAGGGGGGTTGGGAATGCAGCATGCCTGGCTGTGGATTAAAGGGAAGAAGTGCAGGCATGCCCTCGTGCGTTCCAAGCGGATGCAACGTGTCCGAGGCAGGCGTCTCAGACATTTTTCGTGGCTTTGGGCTCTCAGTGCATTGTTTATGGCCAAGTTTACGGTGTGTCGCATTATTAATTATTGTGCAAGCAGCCTCTCTAGTCCAGATTCGCCAGGCAATGAAAGACTTTTTGAATACTTGCAACGAGGGTAGGTGGCAAAGTTCTGTGCTTTCATTCACGATAACTGACACCCTCTAGTAGGGATGTCGCGAGTCGGACAAGCAGGACAGTATCAAGCAGCGCGGACCATGGCACCGACAGACCGCTAGTATAGCTCGCTGGGTATCTCGTATTTTTGAACTACTCCGGTCACAGGCTTTGGAGTTTCTCGACGTGGAGATGGGAGACTGCCCAGAGATATTGGAGCTTGACTCTCATCAGCTGCAGCAGCATTGCGTCTACTGCGTTCATCCGGCCAGAGCTGCATGATCCTTTCGCAAGTTGGCAGTTCTGCAACATGGTTGGCTTGCACGTGTTGCAGTAGTGCGGGGTACCAGGTCAGGTGCGACTTGCGAACTGCAGTGTCCCGATGAGCAGGAACTCAGCCCACGCCCAAGCTTTTCTCGTTACGTTCCCCAAGCATGTTCCAGGGTCATCCCATTCGGGCACGGCCTGGAGGTGACAATGTCACCTGCTACCTGGGCAACCTCAGTGACTTTGTTTGTCATCAACTCAGCTGTCAAGACCGTTGACGCACGTCGGCGCTTGCACTTGTGCAGCTTGTAAAACTAGGTTCTGTAGTCTAACTCCTCTAGACATGAGGTACCCCTCAGAATGACCATCTTGTGTAAAGGCTCCGCTGGTGAGATATGTCCTCCTCCAAGATCTCGTTTGTTGCTTAGTATTGAGATAGAAGAAGGAAGGACAAGTCAATGAGCTCTTCGAAGGGAAGGGGGGTCACCTGTGTCTTTTTTTTGGGGTTCACTTGTGTCTTTTTTTTGGGGGTCGCTTGTGTCTTTTCTGCTGGTTCGGAAGCAACAGTCTCGAACGAAAGGCCCCCCGGGGGGGCCTCTCTTCCAGCCACCCGCGGCTTGGAACAAACCTGCGGGAAGTAACGAAGTAAAGAAACACACCATGAATGAATGAATGAATGAATGAATGAAT